AAATCTCCTACTGTAAATATATCAAAACTTAATTTTTGATTAGTAATATGCATTGCTAAGAACTTCATTTGAACAACTTTAAAGATGATTTTCTCAATATTTAGATTTTTTTGCACCCTCAGATTCCAGATTTTCAGATTTTCTCGGCCAAATATTGTCCTATCCTAACAAACCATACATCAATGGAAGCTTATTTATTCAGCTTTCAGATGATGTATAAATCTCAATTTTAAAAAATTGACCCTTATGACTGGTTTTGTGCTCCAGGGTCACAGATGTGTGTTTGAGATCCTCGACACTCACGTCCACATGGTGTACGTCACACACACGGCGGCGCCCAGGAATGCTGGGAAACACAGCAGCGTGATGAAGATGGTGGTCATCTGACAGGCGCGCCACGGCTTCCCCGACACCTGACAGTTCATCTTCAGACTGACCTGCGGCGGACAAAACACAAACACAATATCTATTCATTGCCACATGACACATTTAATACTTTCATTATAATATGTGAGCCTGGATCACAAAAGCAGTCTTAAGTAGCACAGGTATATTTGTAGCAATAGCCAACCCTCCATGCAAAAGAGCGGCACACTTGTGAATCAGTCTGTTAAATGCCTAAAGAAACGCAGAAATCGAACAAACAAACCTTCTTCATGTAGAAGAGAAAGAGCAGTTTAATGATCTGAACCGCCGGCAGCAGAGGAGAGAATAAAACCCCCAGCCTGCAGATGAAACATCACACATCACTGATGGAAAACAGAGGACACTTCTGAGTGCACTCAATGTGAACCAACGCTACCAGGCCAGAGTCTGTCCATAGATGAGCTCCAGAACGTTCCTGGCGATGTCAAACACGGGCTTCCTCTTCCTCTTCAGAGCCTTCTGAGAAAACACCCTGAGCCAGAGGACAACGCAGAACACGACTCGGTCAATAAACACTGTACAGCTCAAAAAAGAAACATTAGAATGGGAAGCATATTTTTAAACAAATTAAATTATAATTTAAAATGTTAATATAAAATAAAAAACAGATTTTTAATTTATTTTAAAAATACAAAAATAAATAATTTAATAAATTTAAAAAACTTTTTAATGAATTTCAGCCACTGCCTTCATGACAATTGGATTTTTCAGTAAATAATCAGAACTTTTATTTCTCGGAGATATTAAAGATTCCCTTTTTTAAATTAGCCAATAGCCTTTACTGCAATAAAAGTAAAATGAAAAGCAAGAATGAATGAAAAAATAAATAGATGCTTACATTTCTTTTTACTGTTATTTATTGCAACATTAATATAGAATACATATACATTTTTTAAAAACACTGCATTTAAAAAAATTTGAACATTTTAAAACAATGTTGCAATAAATAAAAGTAAAATTAAATGTATTCATGAATAAGCTCTGAAATGTTAAGATTTCTTTTTTTAAACAGCACAATAGTCTTTCAAAAACAAGACAATTAAAATAATTATAATAAAAAGTAGATTTTTTTTGCAAACTAAATTATAATTTAAAATATAACTACAATAATTTAAATAACTGTTAAAAATTAAATGAAAAATATAATGTTAATATATATATATATACAGTGGGTACGGAAAGTATTCAGACCCCCTTAAATTTTTCACTCTTTGTTATATTGCAGCCATTTGCTAAAATCATTTAAGTTAATTTTGTTTCCTCATTAATGTACACACAGCTGCGGCCGCTCCGGAAATCTCCCTGATCCTTTTCCCTGATGATCTCCAGCACCAGCTCCCGCGCTTGCTGTAGAACACACACTCAAGAGTCAGACACGTGTCTCAAACATCATCTGTGACTGGGGTGTATTTGTAGCAATAGTCAACAATACATTGTATGGGTCAAAATTATCGATTTTTTCTTTTATGCCAAAAATCATTAGGTTATTAAGTAAAGATCATGTTCCATGAATATATTTTGTAAATTTCCTACCGTAAATATATCAGAACTTAATTTTTAGTAAGTAATATGCATTGCTAAGAACTTCATTTGAACAACTTTAAAGATGATTTTCTCAATATTTAGATTTTTTTGCACCCTCAGATTCCAGATTTTCAAATAGTTGTATCTCAGCCAAATATTGTTCTATCCTAACAAACCATACATCAATGGAAAGATTATTTATTCATGCATATGCATAAAAAGCTGCTCACCTCCACAGAAACTCTCCAAAGAAGGTATCCAGCAGCATGAAGATGAAGTCCATCAGGAGGAAACGGTACAGCTCTTGCCCGACGAAACTCTCCCAGCACTGGGCACAGAAGCACAAGCATCAGAGATCCTAAGATCCAGACGCAGCGCCGCAAACACACGACGGGACTCACCTCTAAACTCAGACTGAGAGGATCCGATGCCACGCGGCCCAGCCAATAATAGCACAGCACTCCCAACACACTCACCTTCAGCAGCAGGTTCCTGAGAAAATTAAACATCTCATGCATTTATAACACAAAGAGTTAAACAGTTTGACCCGTGCAACTGTTAAAATCCATTTCAAATCTCTATATAGAAACAGATTCTTATGTGATGACAGACCATAAGCTCTTTTAAATAATAATAGCCTTTACATCATCACACTGCATTTGCTGATGTATAAATCTCAATTTCAAAAAATTGACCCTTATGACTGGTTTTGTGGTCCAGGGTCACATTTGATGATTATTTAATTCCTATGGAGAAAATGAAAGGGAAAAATACTTTCAGAAGGTCGCTGTGAAAGCGGGCGGCCGTTCTACCTGCTGATGGAGACGTAATTGAGCACACTGGGAGAATCGTACTCCTCCATCCAGGCCACGGCGTTGAAGAATCCGGGCAGGAGCAGGTTAAAGCTGGATACAACCACAGGAACGGCCAGCAGACTGGCTTCCGTCAGCAGCGGATCAGACGAGCCGGAGTGAGCGCGGTGATGCAGATCCTGAGAGAGAGAGAGAAAGAGCTGAATGAACAAACACAAACACTGTGAATCTGATTACACACCGAGACATTAAACCAGACCATACTGTTTATAGAGCAAATACTCCAGAACATTCAACATGACTGAGCAAACACACACGAGACCACGGATATACTATATTTTAATATAGATTTTGTTACAATTTAGATTTTTTTTAATGATTATATTTTATTTGTATGTTATTTTTATATTTACTGTTTTGATTTTAATTTTATTTAAAGTTTTAGTAATTTTGTTCTGTTTTTGTCATTTTTATTATTATTTTTTTTATGAAGTCTATATCAGGGTTATTATAGTTAACTAAAACTTAAACTAAAACCATAAAAAAATTTTGTTACTTGAAATACAGTAAATAAAATAAAATATTTCAGCTAGTTGCCAATCTTAAATTGAGCCTTAAACTTAAAGCAGACAATATATAATACTTGGACAGCATATGAAAACATCATAAATGAACTCCAGACATAAAGACTACACATACAGTTAGGTCCATATATATTTGGACACAGGCACAATTTTTATTATTTTAGCTGCTGACCAAAACATATTCAAGTTACAGATATATAATGAATCTGGGCTTAAAGTGCACACTCTGAGCTTTAATTTGAGGGTATTCTCATCACAATTGGAGGAAAGGTTAAAGAATTGCAGCTCTTTAATATGTACCACCCCCCTTTTTCAAGGGACCATAAGTAATTGGGCAATTGAATCAAAAGCTGTTTCATGGACAGATGTGGGCTATTCCTTCGTTATTCTACATCAATTAAGCAGGTAAAAGTTCTGGACGTCCACGGAGGACAACAGTGGTGATGATCGGAGGATCCTCTCAACGGTAAAGAAAAACCCTTTCACAACATCCAGCCAAGAGAAGAGCACTCTCCAGGAGGCAGACGAGTCTCTGTCAAAGTCTACAATCAAGAGAAGACTTCACGAGAGCAAACACAGAGGCTTCACCACAAGCTGCACACAAGACCAGATTAGACTTTCCCTAAAAACATCTAAAAAAGCCAGAGCACTTCTGGAAAATCATTCTTTGGACGGCTGAAATTAAGATCAAGCTGTACCAGAATGACGGGAAGAAAAAGTCTGGAGAAGGCTTGGAACAGCTCATGATCCAAAGCACACACATCATCTGAGAAACATGGAGCAGTGTGATGCATGAGCGTGCATGGCTTCAGTGGCTCTGGGTCACTGGTGTTTAGTGATGATGAGACAGAAGACAGAAGCAGCTGGATGAACTCTGAAGTGTGTAGAGATATACTCTCTGCGTGAGCCCCTGAAAATGGGGGGGACTGTGTATAAAAATGGTTGTAATTCCTAAGCATTTGATGTTATATTTTATTCAACCCCTTGAATTAAAGCTTAAAGTCTGCACTTCAATTTCATCTTGATTGATTCATTTTAATTCTATTCTGGTGGCATAGAGAGCCAAAATTACAAAAATTGTGTCGGTGTCCAAATATAATGGACCTGAATGTATATAGCAAAATTATATTGACATCTAAGTTCCCTCGTTCTGGCCAAACCTGAGGCAGCTTTCCTGTGTTTGTAATTCAGCTCGCAGTGAAATGTAAATTGTGAGCCTGTCTTTCCGGTCTTTCAAATCAATGGATCAAAAATCATATGTCGTACCCCGTGCATGTATTCAGAGAAGTAATACACAGCTAGCACACACGCTAACGTGCTTCCCAAACACATGATCCACGCCAGCATGTGGATGAAGAGCCGGAAGAGCCGCTGGAGAACGGGGAACTTCAGCTCCTGACGGTTCACTTCCGCCACCAGCTCCTGCAAACAGAGAACAGCTGAAGCGTGTGACATACATTGTGTGTGTCAGACACGGATCATACGTGCGTATGTGTGTCAGACATGGATCATACGTATGTATGTGTGTCATACATGGATCATACGTGTGTATGTGTATCATACATGGATCATACGTGTGTGTGTGTATCATACAAGGATCATACATGTGTGTGTATACATGTCATATATCAATCATATGCGTGTATGCGTGTCAGACATGGATCATACGAGTGTGTGTATGCGTGTCATACATGGATCATACGTGTGTATGAAGTGAAGTGAAGTGACATGTGGCCAAGTATGGTTACCCATACTCGGAATTAGTGCTCTGCATTTAACCCATCCTAAGTGCACACACACAGCAGTGAACACACACACACCGTGAACACACACCCGGAGCAGTGTCATGTCATACATGGATCATACGTGTGTATGTGTGTCATACATGGATCATACGTGTGTGTGTGTATGCGTGTCATATATCAATCATACGTGTGCACGCGTGTCAGACATGGATCATACGTGTGTATGTGTGTCATACATGGATCATACGTGTGTATGTGTTTCAAACATGGATCATACGTGTGTATGCTAGTCATATATCAATTATATGTGTGCATGCCTGTCAGACATGGATCATACGTGTGTATGTGTGTCATGCATGGATCATACGTGTGTGTATGCGTGTCATACATGGATCATATGCGTGTATGTGTGTCATACATGGATCATACGTGTGTATGTGTGTCATATATCAATCATATGTGTTCATGCGTGTCAGACATGGATCATACGTGTGTGTGTATGCGTGTCATACATCAATCATATGTGTGCATGTGTGTCAGACATGGATCATACGTGTGTATGTGTGTCATGCATGGATCATACATGTGTGTATGCATGTCATATATCAATCATATGTGTGCATGCGTGTCATACATGGATTATACGTATGCATGCGAGTCATAAATGGATCATATGTGTGCTGACCTTCAGCTGTGTGCCGATGTTTGCCCGCTGCAGTCTCACTGAGCTTTTCTTGATGACTTTAAAGTCCCATGAGCTGAAGACCTTTATGGCCAACAGGCCTTTAGATTTATCGATGCGGAAACTCTGACCGAACGACTTCGACATGCTGGAAAACAGAAACACAGAGGATCAGTGCAGCTCATCTGGACGGCAAGTCAAGACCATTAACAGGGTTATTATAGTTAACTAAAACTAAACCATAAAAAAAAATCACTTAATAAAAACAAATTTAATAAATGTCAACTGAAAAAATAGGTAAAAAAAAAACAACGTATAGCTAGTTGCCAAGGAAACTCATTCTTATTTAGTTTAGCTTGATGTATTAAAATGACTAAAACTGAAATAAAAATTTATTTTAAAACAATTATAGGATATAAGACAACAAAATTATTAAAAATGTATTAAAATTAAACCGTAAAATATAATAATAATAATAAAAAATAAGGATAAACATTAAATTAAATTAAATAAAGTACTTAAAAAAAACATTTAGCAAGTTGCCCAGGAAACATTCCCATTTGGTTTAATTTGATGCACTACAATGACTAAAACTAAATAAAAACTGAAATAAATATTTTTTTAATTAAAAAAAGGAAAGATAATGGCACACAACAAAATTAATAAAATTTAAGAAAAAATTAAAATAAAAAATTCAATTGAATAAAAATTCAATTAAAATTAAACTGAAACCAGAATATATAAAAATAAAAACTAATTCAAACAATTAATAAAACCTACAATAATATCTCAATTAGGGGTGGGCGGTATGACCAAAATTCAGTTTCACGGTATGACTAATTTTATTTCACGGTAACAATATATTTCACAATATAGTTATTTATATATGTAGTTATTCTGAACATCAACAAAAAAAGCTTTATATGATAAATAAACTCAAATACTTTTCTTTTTCTTTTATTTGGTAAATTATTTATTCAGTAAAAACACAATCAACGTATAGATTAACTGCCCCCAGCTGATTGATATTAAATGCAACTTTTAGGTTCAATTAAACTTTACATAAGGTGTTTCTGAATTATTTTTACATCTCATGTTATTGTTTTATTTCAATCAGTTTATAATATCTAAATATTGTTATTGAAATATTCCATTTATAATAAATTACATTTACTTCCTTTTAATTTTGTAGAATACTATTAATACTAGTTATATAGTTTAAATTTGTTCCCTGGTATCTGTTTATTATAGCCTACTGCGTTTTGAAGGAGCTCGTTTTGCTCTTTTTGTGATAACTGGAAACCCTTCACCTGGAGCTTTAATCAAGAGATTACGTCATACTGCCGAGCCCTAATCTCAATGATAATAAAATAACACTGAAGATTACTGTATTAATATAAGTACATCTTTAAAGCACAATCTGCTTTTATTGTCATTCAGAATTGTTACATTTACATTTATGCATCTGCCAGAGGCTTTTATTCAAAGTGACTTGTATTACACTTAAGATGTGCATTTATTTAGTTCATGCATGTCCTGAGAATCGAACCAATGACCTCCTGTTTGGTTGCTATAAAAAATACAATAAACCTAAAAAACAAGACTGTTTAACTATGTTTATATTAAAAGTATGTATGGAACACAAATCATAAACAATCACACGTGACGGACAAGCGTAAACAATGCTTTCAAGAGAGCCTCACCTGTAGACGAGGATGATGCAGGTGATGAAGAAGGCGGCGCCGATGGTGAAGAAGTAAACGAGAGGCATGTTATAGGACAGTCCAGAACTACAGGACGTCCCATTCCTGGATGCAGAGCAGCTGCGGCCCGTCTGTAGCATTTTGTTACTATAGTATCCATAATACAGCAGAGAGTGCGAGAAATAACCCTGAGAGAGAGAGAAGTGTGATCGTGAAGCATCTCGCTTACAGAATCAAATACTGTTGTGTTTCCAAGTTGAACCTACAGTCTAAATGTTTGTTGAGCAGCAAATCAGCATATTAGAATGATTTCTGAAGATCATGTGACACTGAAGACTGGAGTAATGATGCTGAAAATACAGCTTTGATCACAGAAATAAATTACAGTTTAACAGATATTCACATAGAAAACAGCTGTTTTAAATTATAATATTTCACTATTTTTACTGTATCTGTGATCAAATAAATGCAGCCTTGGTGAGCAAAAGAGACATCTTATTCCAAAATTTTAACTGCTAGTGTATGTTCCGAAGTTTATGATTCACATTTGTGAATTTCAGTGATTGGTTCACTTGTTTTTTTCCCCCTCGATTAGCACAAAATCACTTTCATAGACTTTTACATTAAATGTTCTATTTGATCTATTTGTTTTCTTTTTTCTTTAAAAAACACTTGAACCTCTAACACTTGCATTCTCTATTCTATTTTTATTCTAACTACTTATTTTATTTTTATTTATTATAAAAATGGCCCTCTAACACTAGCATTCTCAATTCTATTTCTATTCTTTTGACCCTTTTTATTTTTATAAAAAAAACACTTGACCCTCTAACACTTGCACTCTCTATTCTATTTCTATTCTAACTACTTATTATCTTTTTATTTATTATAAAATGACCCTCTAACACTAGCATTCACTATTATTTTGACTTGTTTTATTTTTATTTAAAAAACACGACCCTCTAACACTTGCACTCTCTTCTATTTCTATTCTAACTACTTGTTTTCTTTTTATTTATTATATTAAAAAAGCCTTGCGTACTGCGTTAGGCTAACTGAGACTTGTCACAGCACTTGTATTGCTTCTATTGTCCTCATTTGGATAAAAGCGTCTGCTAAATGCCTAAATGTAAATGTAAATATGTAATTGTGTGTTTATTAATGCACTTACGGCGCCCGTGAGCACCTCCAGGCCCCATGTGCTCCTGACAGTGACGTTCTGGTCCTGGTCCGGATGAGCGATGGCCTGAGGAACCACCAGCAACAAACCCGTGACCAGGAACAGGAAGACATTGAAGAAGAGGAGCGTTCTGAGGAAGACGAAATACGAGAGGACGCCTGTCCCGAAGCGGCCGCCAACACACTTCAGAGCCGTTTGCCACAACTGCAGTGAGGACAGGAATGACAGCCAGCCGTACCAGCCGTGCCTCAGCGCCTGACAGACACACACATCACAGCACTGATTACAAATGACGGAGACTAAAAACAGACGAGAGCCACAATTATTTAGCATATTCAGTGGTAATATTCATAGTTAGTTTATCCTTCTGTTTAATTACAGTCAGAGTTGTTATAGTTAAAGGAGACATATTATGCCCCTTTTTACAATATGTAATATAAGTCTCAGGTGTCCCCAGAATGTGTCTGTGAAGTTTCAGCTCAAAATACCCCACAGATCAATTATTATATCATTTTGAAAATGCCTATTTGGAGTAAAAGCAGAAACACGCTATTTTTCGTGCCTGTTTCTTTAAATGGAAATGGGCTGCTGCTCCCCGCCCCCTTTTCCAGAATAGAGCTGCTCCATTACAGAGCGTACCTGCTAAAAACATCTGTTTTGGTTCTGATTATCATGTTTATCGCGCTGAAATCATGCGTTTTAAACTATATTAGTTTAAACTTCAGATATACGGTTTTCTGAGAGCACACATCTGAAGCACACGCACAGAAAGCGGCTGTCACAGCATGTGAGTACTAAACTAAGTTCTCATTCACACACAAGTTTACGTTAAAAACACACATGAGTTACGAATGCCAGCCAGCCGTCCCAGCCGTGCCTCAGCGCCTGACAGACACACACATCACAGCACTGATTACAAATGACGGAGACTAAAAACAGACGAGAGCCACAATTATTTAGCATATTCAGTGGTAATATTCATAGTTAGTTTATCCTTCTGTTTAATTACAGTCAGAGTTGTTATAGTTAAAGGAGACATATTATGCCCCTTTTTACAATATGTAATATAAGTCTCAGGTGTCCCCAGAATGTGTCTGTGAAGTTTCAGCTCAAAATACCCCACAGATCAATTATTATATCATTTTGAAAATGCCTATTTGGAGTAAAAGCAGAAACACGCTATTTTTCGTGCCTGTTTCTTTAAATGGAAATGGGCTGCTGCTCCCCGCCCCCTTTTCCAGAATAGAGCTGCGCCATTACAGCTCGGACCTGCTAAAAACATCTGTTTTGGTTCTGATTATCATGTTTATCGCGCTGAAATCATGCGTTTTAAACTATATTAGTTTAAACTTCAGATATACGGTTTTCTGAGAGCACACATCCGAAGCACACGGACAGAAAGCGGCTGTCACAGCATGTGAGTATAAACTACGTAAGTTCTCATTCACACACAAGTTTACATTAAAAACACACATGAGTTACAAAAACAGTCGGTTATGTCAGTGAAGGTAAACAGCTGGGAAATAAATCGCATGTTTATTTTAGATCTGTGTGGCAGCAGCAATATACAGTAAATAAATCAATAAATCCACTGCTCTCTTGTCTCCTCTGAGGCTGGGACTCTAAACAGTGTTCAGTGCTCGTCAAATAAAACGACAAACATGCAAAATTATCGAAACACTGATTTACACATGAATATGTGGTGTAAATAAACAAAACACTGAAAGATATTACGACAGCATTGATGATAACTGTTGGGATTCAATATGGGCCAATCTTAAACTTGTTTAAAAAAATCCTAATCATCAATTAATTCACTACAAAATGGTTCATAGGATGTATCTCACTCCTAGGAAACGATATTTAATGAAGCTTTCTTCATCTTCCAATTGTAATTTCTGCTCAGGAAACTCTATAGGAACCTATAGACATATGTTTTGGGATTGCCCTGAAGTTAATCATTTCTGGAAACAGGCATCTAAGACTCTGAAGGACATACTGGAAGTTGATATATCATGCTGCCCTAAGCTTTTGCTTTTAAATGATGACTCATCTTTCGGTTTCTCTCGGTCTCAGAAAAAATTGTTATTCTCTGGATTAACTGCAGCAAAGTTCCTTGATTATTACGCCGGAATGAGAGTATAGTTCCTAGCCATATCGGCCTAGAAAATCACAACTTTTCATTTTCTGTCGGTCTTAGTACAGAGTTTTCTTAGTACAGTCGGTCTTAGTAGAGTCAAGTTTTAAATAGGAAAAATATAGAAACTCTTTGGTCTTTTTTGAGCGAGATGCTAACGGTCTAATCAGATTCAATGATCTATACTAAGCTACAGCTAAAAGTGCTACCGCCAGACCCGGAGATCGGCTGAATGGATTGGAAAACGGTAAAACTCAACTGTTTAATTCTAGGGGAGTTGGAAAATGAGCCTATTTTCAAAAATAGTGGAGTGTTCCTTTAACTAAAACCTTTAAAAAATGCTTTGTTACTTGGAATGCTTGATAAATGTTGTTGAGAATGTTACTTTCTCAACAACATTTATCATTTTTGTTTGGTTTAAGTTGAAGTTCTAAAATAACTAAAACTAAATAAATTAATAAATAAAAATGTATAAATACTATATAGACATTAAAAAAAATAAAATCTAAAAAATAAATAAATAAATAAAATAGACAAAAAACCCACAACACAATTACTAAAACTTTCAAATTAAAGAAAATATAATAAAAAAAATTAATTGAATTCAAAATATGAACATATGATAAAATTATATAAATTATCTTAAAACTGCTAATCTTGCTTCTTGTTTGTTTATTGGGCACGGATTATTTTTTGAATGTTCAATACTAACTTTTCACTGTGACTTTTCACTTTTCCATTTTCACTGTGACATTTTGCAGCACGTCTCACTTTAATGCAAATGTTCAGCTGATGCCAATAAAGCAACACTGAAACTGAACTGAATGTCAGAGAGCTTATATTGTCTTCAGTACTAAAGCACATCTGCACATCTGACACAGAGTGCAAATATAAACCATTCGAAACAAACAGCACGCATGATTAACCTCTGACACGCTCCACTACACGCCTGTGATACAACACTATAAAACTACCGTTAATACCCTGATACACAAACACATACACACACAAACACACACACACAAAAAGACTCATCCACACACACAAAAACACACTTTACACACACACAGACACACACTTGCACACACACACAGACACACACTTGCACACACACACTAGCACACAGACACACTCGCACACTTACACACACACTCACTCACTAGCACAGACACACGCTCAAACACTCACAAGTATGCACTCACTGACACACACACACACACACACATTCAACAAAAATATCAATCACTGACTGAAGGCTGAATCTCACAAGACACAAAGAAAAAAACAGCCGCACACGTCATATGACAGATATAGGCTATATACAGACTGAAACTAATGTTCTTAAAAAAAATTATATTTAGAAAAAGTAGCAACTTTTGTTGTCATTGTGAAATAAATTTAAAAAACAAAAAACAAACGTATTTATTTCAGCTAGCTGCCAAGGCAACATTTCTTATTTTTATTTAGTTTAAGCTGAAGTACTAAAATAGCTAAGCATGTTTTAGACTCACAATGATGATGTAATACTTGAACTGACTGCAGCAGGGAATCTGATTCTGAGACACAGAGTGTTCGGCTTTATTCAACACCAACATCCTGAAAAACAGACAATATCAGAAGAAAATCAGGAACTCAGAAAACACAAATGTTTCTACGTGATTCAGTTTTTTTTTTTTTTACAGTGACGGAAATCCAATTGGAGCAAACATACTAAACAAAACAATGCTTTTAGCACTATTTATTACAACAAAACTCTTTTATGAATGACTTTAACTGCACACTGTCATAAAACCAGCCAGTAAGTGATTCAATGATTCATTAGTAATTTTAACGATTCATTAGAATAAGAATCAACTCACAGCAGTTGAACTGCACCACTCATGTCTATTTATTGTCTTTGCATTATTTTGTACATTAAAAATATTGTTGAGTCTGATGAATTTCTTTTGTTCCATAAACCGTACATTTTGTGTTACATCACATTCTATTCAGACCCTAAACTAAATATGATTTGTTTTGCTGTACATTCAGCAGCGCTGCAGGACATGTTGAATAGACACAATAGCAGGTGTGGCAGTGTTTATTAGTGTATTTACCTGAGCTCTTTCTTCTCTGCGAGACACAGCGGCATCGCTCTCAGCATACGCACGCGATCATTGGCTGACAGATTCTGCAGATTATTGACCAAACGCTCCCTCTTATTCTCTACAAACACACAGAGTCATCACACCAGATCAGCACGGCATAGTTCAAGATGTTTCAGGCATCAAATGTGAGCCTGGAGCACAAAAGCAGTCTTAAGTCGCTGGGGTATACTTGTAGCAATAGCCAACAAAACATTGTATGGGTCAAAATTATAGATTTCTCTTTTATGCCAAAAATCATTAGGATATTAAGTAAAGATCATGTTCCAAGAAGATATTTTGTAAATCTCCTACCGTAAATATATCAAAACTTAATTTTTGATTAGTAATATGCATTGCTAAGAACTTCATTTGGACAACTTTAAAGATGATTTTCTCAATATTTAGATTTTTTTGGCACCCTCAGATTCCAGATATTCAAATAGTTGTATTTCGGCCAAATATTGTCCTATCCTAACAAACCATACATCAATGGAAAGCTTATTTATTCAGCTTTCAGATTATGCATAAATCTCAATTTCCAAAAATCGACCCTTATGACTGGTTTTGTGCTCCAGGGTCACGTATGTGATTTCAGTGCTTTCACCTTCTTCCTCAAAACCGGCTGCATCCGTTTCCATGCGGTATCCGCGGATGCTGGGCCGCGCGGATCGAGGGAAGTGCTGGATGGAGGGTCTGCTCTGTCTGCGTCTGCGCAGCTGCATGGTGCGGTTGCAGTACTGAGAGATGATCGCGCCACGACTGCGACCTAATCAAAGAGATTAAACTGAGATCATCTGGAGACATCAGTGAGCTATCAAGAGGAAAAGACACCAGCTGTACAGGAAACCCGATTTTAATTATAACAAACAACATCTGAGGTTTTTCACCAGAAATGAAGATGAAAGACAGAGTAAAGAAATGGATACACAGCAAAGATATTTCATTTCCAAATGCATTAGGAAATTATATCCTCATATATTACAAATTAAAAAGCAAGAAAAGTTTCAGTGAATGTGTAAAATATTTTATATATTTTTATGCATTAATTGAAATTTATAGTTTTTATTTTTATATTTTCCATTTTCATTTTCAAAGGTGACATATCATGAAAATCTGACTTTTCCAGGTTTTAAGTGCTATAATCAGGTCTCCGGTGCATCTACCAACCAAGGAAAGGTGAAAAAGATTAACCCAGTAACTTTGTTTTGGTAAGCCTTTCTCTGCAAGCATCTGAGGAAACGAGCGTCTGATTTCGCTCCCTTGGTGACGTGGCAAAGGGATCTCATTATAATATCACCGCCCCTTAATCTGTAAGTTTTCACTCACGGCGCAGTTATTTTGATTTCGCAAGCGACAACGGTGTACCAGCTCTAATGCCATGATGAAAGTTTGAGCAAAACATGCTAACGATTCTGTCTTTTGCTGCACAGACGAGTAGAGCCCGACCGATATGGATTTTTGGGGGCCGATGCCGATACCGATATTAGGGAGTAAAAGTTCATATCGGCGGCATATTCGCCGATACCAATATATCGGCCAGTAATATCGGCTAAACGATATATCGGTCGGGTACAGCGTGTTTCTGCTTCCACTCAAAATAGGCATTTTCAAAATGATATAATAAATGATCTGTGGAGTATTTTGAACTGAAACTTCACAGACACATTCTGAGGACACCAGAAACTTATATTACATATTGTAAAAAGGGGCATAATATGTCTCCTTTAAGTTTTAGCAAAAAACAAACAAACTAGGGCTGGGCGATTTGGCAAAAAATTTAAATCTTGATGTTTTTCAAAACGTTTGACCGATTCTCGATTTTTTTTACGATTTTTAACTAGTCAACCTGAAAATGTAACTACAACATGATTCAAGTAACTTTTTCTTTATTAACCCTCTAGTTAAAGAAAATTCTATTCCAAGTGCAGCACACATGAAGTTGTCAACATGATGTAAATGTTAAACAAATAACTTAAGTATCTTTATATCTTGTACAAACTTGCCTTATACATATGTGTTCAGAAATAATACGAGGAAAATGCTTTAAAAAAAATTCTCAAAAGTCAAGGTAATTCAAATTCAAAATGACTGAAGGTATAACACCAGTAGACTATTACTAACTATAAATGTTCTGTAAAAACAACAGCAGCTTTCAGTCTGTCACCATGATGCAAACATGAATTACAGGTTTTTTTATTCGCTTGCGCTGCTTTTCCATTGTTTTTTTGGATGTGTTTGACTGTTGCGCTCGCGTCTCATGCATGAAAAGGCATTCTAAAAACGCAGCCCTCAAATTAAAAGAAGTTCACTCCCATCTTCTTGAATGTTTTTCCTATTCCACTGCTTGCGTCGTATCTTTATCAACACAAAAGCGCATTCTGTTTGAATGGAGCCTAGCGATATGAGTGGTTAATCACGTGCACAGACATGCAGTTAGATCATTCTTTTCTCTTTACTGTTATCATTGGCATATTGTCAAAGTGTCTAATTCTAACGTTTGGTAATATTTCTATTAAAAATCGCGATTTCTCGATTTCTAAAAAATAAAATCATGGCAAAACATTAAACACACTGACCGATGGTGCGGCTGGGCATGGAGGAGAGGACTCGGAGCGTGTCAGATGACCAGCGTTCTCCAATCAGATGATCCGTCTGCTGCGGCGCATCGCTGTCAGACCGCTGGTACACCGGAGCCTCCAGACACACGACGTCATCTGAAACACAAAACAGCTCTGTCAGATTCCTGTCTGATGTCACTTCCTGTCTAAGTGGGCGGTTCCTGGTCAGAATGAGCTGCGGTGTGATCTGACCTCTGCTCTCCTCCTCCAGGTCAAACGGGGTCATCTCTATGACATCATGAAGGTCGTGACACTGTTCCTGGATCAGCTGACTGAATGAATCATGAACCCCATCCTCATCTGCTGGACTCCTGATGCATGAAAACACAGAAAACTCACAATGCTCAGCAAGGCTGCGTTTATTTGATCAAAAATACTGTAAAATTTGTTAAATATTTTTACAACGTAAAACAACCGTTTTCTATGTGAATATCTGTTAAACTGTAATTTATTTCTGTGATCAAAGCTGTATTTTCAGCTTCATTACTCCAGTCTTCAGTGTCACGTGATCTTCAGAAATCATTCTAATATGCTGATTTGCTGCTCAAGAAACATTTCTGATTATTATCAATGTTGAAAACAGTTGTGCTGCACAATATTTTTGTGGAAACAGTGATGCATTTTATTTTTCAGGATTCACAGATTAATAGAAAGTTCAAAAGTTAAATCGAAATACTTGTAACAATTTACTTGAAGCCTTTATGTATAATGCATTATAAAGCTATTCATAACACACATTGCAGTGCATTATATCTTTTCATAATTGTAACCAAATTTAAAATGCATTATAATATTTTCAGATTCCTTGTTGGCTGCCATGTGTTTTAATGCATTATACATTTACAGTGTAACAATGAAGTGTTATAATGTATTATTACAGTGGTTATGATTACTCATAAGATCGTACAATGAGTTATAAATTGCATTATCAGGCAAATTATTTTTTTTTTAAACATTATATATATATATATATATATATATATATATATATATATATATA